TTTCATGCCCATTAAAGAACTCATTTCTTTGTGGATTTTACTGAAAAACGTTGATTAAAAGCACAAAAAATGCAAATTTTCAGTTACCACGGACTCTTAAGCTAAGGAAATAACTAATCTTTGACGGCCATTTTCTCACTAATTTTACCTCCGAAAACAGATGACCCACACCTCCTTCATTTGCAAATATCTCGACTTGTATTCAAGATAAATGGATATTTTTTCATCCAAATATAGACAAGTGAACAAGCTTAAAGATGATACCAATAACTCTACATGCCCAAGAATTGACGAGAGCCTGATTCCACCACGTCGTCACACAAATAGAAAAAATGTGGGAGTTTTTCTTACGCCCTCATCGACACAGGTCCGATCATCTAGGGGGTGGGCTTCATCCCCTGTTTATCAGGGCCAACCCTGGGTGAGAGGGATGCAATATCCCAGCTGAAAGACTGAGAAACTCGATAAAGAATTTTCCCCCGCCTTAGAGTTGAACTCAGGTCTTCTGTGTGCAACAGCGAAGTGCCTAGACCATAGACATCGGTAGTGTGGGAAGGTGAGTAGATTGACGAGACGAGTGTGAAAAGCTACACTTAATCCTTGGATTCATGCATTGCCTAATATGAATTTTTTTTTTCCTTGCTCAGTCTGCCAAATTAGCTTGCCAGGGATCAACCAAGTGCTATGATTCTTTCAGTCCAGATCAGCACAAGGTAAGTTTTGAGAATCTGTGAACAAATTGTTTTTGGTTAGACTCATAAAATTTTGTTTATGGTATGACGAGATGCTTTTATGCCTGTTTTGGTCCAAAGAGGGTTTTATGAATAAGATCTCTGTCCTGAATGTTATTCGTGTTTAGGAATGTGTATTTTCGTGTTTAGGAATGTGTATTTTCGTGTTTAGGAATGTGTATTTTCGTGTTTAGGAATGTGTATTTTCGTGTTTAGGAATGTGTTTTTTCGTGTTTAGGAATGTGTTTTTTCGTGTTTAGGAATGTGTATTTTCGTGTTTAGGAATGTGTTTTTTCATTTTATATACTATGCTATTTCTCTTTGCTGCAGCTGGCTCTTTTGCATGTCCTCTTTCTTTGACATATTGTTACTTGCCTTTGATGTACTTTGTAGAAGTGTGGTAATGAACAACTTTTGTCAATTGTAGTTCTAGGCGTCTGTACAGGGTTGTGTGTCAAAAGAAGAAATAAGCGATATCTTTAAGTTGCTACTCTTGTTGTTGTTATTGATCTAGCTATTTTCTTTAAGAATCGTGTTGTTTCTGTTGACTTAGAATGTGTATCGACATGTTAGACTGTTGCCTGTGGGTGGTGGGCGGGTGCTCTGGTGTGGTGTGGTCCTTCTTTCCTATCCAACATCTCTCGTCTTTATCTCCCCTCCTTCTTTTTTATGTTTGTTACTCTCTTGTAACACCCCTAATCTTCGGCACTCATATGACCTTATTGTGTTGCGAGTGCAGTAATACACTTACTGAAGCAAACATCTGTTGCCAGTTGCTCCTACCCCGTTTTTTGTATCATGATGTATTTTTTGTCCTCTTACTGGCTACTCAGGCTGCTTCTGAAGACCTGTGTGCCACCTGCAAATCTGTCGTGGCTGATATCCGCGCCTTGGACCGAGATCAGGATCTTCAGGTATTTTCTTATCCTATTCCAATTTGTTTGTTCTCTTTAGAATGCAGAACGTGGGTAATTGGTGGGTGCTCTCGAGCGGTTTTTCTCCTTCTTGCCTGTCGAACATCTATTGTCCTTATTTCTCCTCCTTCTTTCGTGTGTTTGTTACTCTCTTGTAACACCTCTAATCTTCGGCACTTATATGACCTATTGTGTTGCAAGTGCCGTAAAATGTTTACTAAAAAAAAAAAAAAAACCTCTCTTGTAACACCTGTAATCTTTGGCACTTACATGACGTAACTGTGTTGCAAGTGCCATAAAACACTTACTAAAACAAAAACAAAGTAAAGAATCCCCTCTCCCCTCTTCCTCACCCCAATCCAGTGAGATTTTTTAAAATTAAAGGAGAGACTCTCTACAAGCCTTGAGTCAGAACTTTGAAAAGATACAGAAATTATGATAATCGTTAATGATAATTGTACAAGAGTAGAATTTGTAGCTTGGGTTCAGTAATCTAAGTCAGGCAAGTTACTATTTGGGGCTCGTTTCTGAAATTTTGGTACTGATGTATTGATGATCCATCTTTTGGCACAGTTGAGATGGTGATCTTGACATGAAATTCCTAACACAAGTTTTGTTTCGGCTTTTTAAAGAATCTGTTCTTCAAATTCTTACGGTTTTGTTTTGTCTGCTTGTGAAATCTTTCCAGAATGTGATCAGGAGCCTTCTCAAAAATGCCTGCTCAAAAACGGGACAATGTCAAGATCTGGTAAGTTGTCTAAGGAGTGTGTTTGACGGTGACAATGACTGTGACTCTTTGTTGGGAACATCTCATGACTCATAGGGAAAAATCTCACCCTGGGTGTGGACACACTCACTGAACTTTTCTAGTGCATGATCACCCATACTCTCTCTCTCTCTCTCTCTCTCTCTCTCTTTCTCTCTCTCTCTCTCTCTCTCTCTCTCTCTCTCTCTCTCTCTCTCTTTTCAAAGTCTGTTCATTACTTATCCCTTTAGGTTCCTCTTAATATTCTTCCTAATTTACTGATTGCTTTTGCATAGACAATTATTACTAAGGTGGGAGGGATTCTAGTATGTTAAACCTACCCTGAAGCAGAGAAAGGTATCAATCTTTGTGTCCTTGCTACACCGTCATAAGAAGAGACGGCACTGTCTGTATTGTACTGGTTTGCATGCTATGTATTTGGATGATTGCTAATGTGCCTTAATCTTCACGTGCATGCTCAACAAACGACAATGTCACTGAATCCATGGAAGTGTTCGGGCGCGCTGTTTGCTTAGTTTATATCATTCTGGACATGGTGCATATGACCTTGTTCGAATCCCCACTGAGGCCTTCTTGAACTTGGGTTGTTTGGGGAGTTTTCAAAGCTCTTCTATCACTTGGGTTAGTCTCGTCAGAAAAAGGCGTTACGTTCAGAGGAATCTTCTTTTAAAAAACTCACAGTGTTGATAGGGGCGTTTAATCTATACGACAACTTCTACTATGGAAGTGGTCGGTGTTGTGCACTCTGCCTGTTGTGTCCCAGTGGGGCCTTAACAGACGTTGCAAATACGAGTTGACGTTGAACTGACATAGTATCATTGGCCTGGAGTAGGAAATGGGAGGTTCTTCAACATTTTCCACCTGTGTTTAACGTGCTTTGGACCATCACTTTGTTCTGTAAAGACACTGAGGCCGCATTAAAAATGTTGTTGCTGATGTTCTTGCAACAGGGATCTCTAGTCACTCAGCTGTCACTTTTTTTCCGGATATCCCGGAGAGTTTGTAAGTTTATGAAGTTCTGTACCTTTCTTCATGCCTTCATCTTGCCCTCAAAGCGACTGGGGATATTTGTTAGCCTTGAAAAGGACTGTTCAGCCTTCAAACAGTCCTAAAAAGGACTGTTTAGTTTTCTGAGAGCCATGAAAATGACTGTTTGCTTTTGTAGTCGTCCTGAAATAGACTGTTCAGTTTTGTGGTAGCCTTACAAAAAGGACTGTTTGGCATAATGTTGGTAGCCCTTGAAAGGTCTGTTTTTGTCGTTGGTTCCTGAGGAACTTTTTTGTTCGTCCAGAAAAGGACCATGAGTAGCCCTAATAAGGACTGTTTTTGTCTTTCTCCCTCCTTCTATTATGACGTAGAGTTTTTCCGTTGTGCCAAGATGTGAGGGATAGTCAGAGGAGGTGCGTGGTGTGAGCGTGGTCCTAATGCCGAGTGGGGGTAGGGGGTCGTGTGCCGATGGTTTACCTCAAGAGCCCTTGTTCAGAACTTGCAGAAAATTAATTGGAAGCGTCCCTTGTCTCTGACTGAGGGGACGAGCTTGCAGAAAATTCGCTTGATGCATCTGTCGTTTCTGACTGCGATGAAGAACTTGAACTATCTATCTATCTATCTATCTATCTATCTATCTATCTATCTATCTGTCTATCTATCTATCAATGATACGATATTATAAAAAGTTGCTCCCGCATCCGATTCGGACATTGTGGATTGCCCTGTTAGTGAGACAACTTCCTGGGCCTTCGGCATATTCTGGTAGGGTGGCCAATACTATCTTATAATTTATATCATTTCATAATTTTACATTTATTTATTTACATATCATGATTGAGTTCGGTGTATGTATGTGTGTATGTGCGTGTGCGTGTGTTGTCATTTTGTGTGTATGAGAGAGAGTGTTGTAAGTGTATTATCTACATATGATGACGTATATCATGATATAATGAATAAAGGGGCTCTCGTGACCTGGAGGTTATGATGTTCGCCTTCCATTCAAAGATCCCGGGTTCGAAACTGGGTAACGACGAAAAAAAGTTCTTCTTCATTATTTGTCTCCTTTCACCCTTTTTCTGCTCTCTAGCAATGTTCTGTCGTCTGCTTTCGTCTCCACTTTCTCTCCCCCCCCCCCTCCAACCAGTCCTCTTTTACCCCCACCTCTAGGCTTCAGACACTTTCTGCAGCCTTTCTACTGCTACTTTTGGGGCCCTTCTTACTACTGTCTTTCAGCCACACTCCTGATCTTCTGGTAGGAAACATCTACACAAAGCCTTCTCGGACCAGAATGAACAATCTCGGAGGTCCTGTGAGCAAGTTGCGCACCATAAAGATCTCTTGATTGTCTAAAATCGATAAGAGTAGGCTTCGGCCGCCAGCCAGACACAATTCAAAATTTCCAACCAACTGAAAATGTTTTGGCCTAATGTGTCCCGCGCGCTCACATGACATTACGAGGTTGCAAGCACCGCAGAACACTTACAATATATATAATTTATATGATGAATACTGATATAATATGTATGTATACGCAGGCACAATTGTGTACACACATTTACATGCTAAATGATATGTATAGAGAGATAGCATGTTACAGTTTGTACGTTAAAACTGTGAACGTTTCAAAGTGTTCACTGAGACTTCAGCTGTAGTGCTATGGTGGAATTTATGCAATATTCAGAATATCCCTCACCGAAAAATAATAAAATTTAAAATGAAAGAATAATAATGAATAATGTTTTTTTAAATCACTCAATAAAAAATAAAAATAAAATAAAATCCCGCATTCTTGCCTATCTCCGTTTTTGTGGTGTTGTGTCTTTGTTGGATGAAAAAAAAAAATTGCTGTAAATGAAATTTGTTTGAAGGAGAGACGAGATGAAAAATAATCACGATTCTGCAGGAGCATTTGTAAATAGTGGGCTTACAATGGCGTTAGTTGGCGCTGGTCTTCTGACTTATTCAACTGATATAACTTTTATGTTCATATAATATATGAATATTACACTAATATTATATACAATGTATACATACTTTTATGTCTGTGTATAAATATATATA